TTTTTTATATAATTTTCTGTAAAATAATTAAGTTTGTATTGCAAAATTCTAAGATTTAAGAATAATTATGGTAAATAGCATTATAAAGTTATCTATACATAATTTCTGCACAAAATAATATTTGCTTAATATATACTCTACATTTTTACAAATTTTTATTGATCATATCTCAAAAAGTATTCAATGTAAACACGTAATATGTTTGTTATATTATTCGATTATTCCTTTCAAAATCTTTATTGTACTTTTTTTTATTTCCAATTACATCTAACGAAGAAAAAATGCAAATTTTGGAAGAAGAAATTTTGATACAATGCAGCATAATGTACAAGTCACGTGAAGGATAAGTAACAATTATATCATTTTTAAATGTTTGCAATTTCTAATTATCTACAACAATGTATTCTATCTTATAATAAAAAAAATAAAAGACGGTAAAAAGTAACAGGCACGTATACTTTCAGATGGTAATTATAACTTGTACGCTTCCCTTACATAACCTTGGACTTTGGACGTGTTCGTCTGCCTGGAAGAGTGGCTATAATTTTAGCAAACAATTACTTGATCTCGCTGTACATTCTAAATTCATCCGCATATCATGCGTATAATCTGAATCTTAATCTATTATGAATTTTCTAACAATATACTGTCTCGATCCTATTTTGTAACGTCTTTCAATGTTTTAATCAATATAAGCAAGACGTATTTTAAAAAATACGTCTTTGTAAAAAAGCAATACCGTTTTTGCAATAAATAAATCATATTTTTATATGATTATGCTAAAATAATAAAGTTATTTCTTTTTATATTAGAGTGAAATTAAATTTATGTACTTCTCCAATTCTCATTAGTACTATAACGCATCGGTACAAAGAGCATTCACGTATGGCTGCATGTACAATTGCAGTTTCTTAAGTAAGGTCAACTGGCCTATTTGTGCCTACTCTACAGTTTACTTTTCACTATTTACAATAGTATATACGTATATTTTGAAGATCAATGATACTTTTATGATTTCTTTTGTATCAATTTTCCTATACTAACAAAAAAAAAGAGATTAAAGGGAAATGTTATTATTTCTAACATAAGTTCTTCTGAACAATTAATTTCCTTGTGAAGTATATCAAGGAATACGACTTTCCCGTTCTCATTTCAAAAGAGAAACTACAGGAGTAATTATAGTAAAGACTCTATAAGAATTCGTTGAGATGTATATGTTAACTGTTCATGGTTTATCCCCACCACGAGGGGGAATCTCCCTTGAACCATGCAAGCGAATGTGACACGGCCGTGGCATCTCTTTAATAATTTTTATTCCATTCGGTGGCAAATATTGGGATATTGGAATATGGGATATTCGATTCTTGTTATACTAAGGTTTACACTAGTCAGGACTCTTCACAAGCAGTTCGCAAACAGCTTGCGAGCAATTATAATTTACTAATAAATATAGATTTTCACTAAATTCAGCCGCTTGGATTTTCAACATAAATATTAACACTGCTGTTTTCAAAAACTTTAAAATCTGTGCATATTTATTTACTAGCGACAACGAATTCTTAAGAGTCATCGAAGGTTATTTACCAAAATCAGAAGTGGAATTTATAAATTAGTTTATGGCCGTTCAACCTGGAGTCCAACGGTTGTGACAACCGATATTCTATTTTATGCATGCATATGTATGTGTGTGGAATTTCTTATGAAGTAACTAAATGTAAACCGAATTATACCATGTTTGGTCTCATTTTAATCAGAAAAATATCATCGATATGTTAGTAACATTTTTATCAACAAAAAACCAAAAATAAGAAAGTTTCTTTTTGGATTAGTGCTGTCTCACCGATATGTAGGCATTTAATTTTTTACAACTGCTCGACTTTCAATATCTCTCTCTTCTTTGTCCGCTGTCCCTTTCTGCGTCCGTCGATGTCGATAAAATACAAAGAGTTTGGAAAATCTAGTACCTATCCCGTAACTGTTCCGCAACGGACCCAAATTTCGAACTCTTATACAGTATTTACTGTATAACGTAAATGTACGTTATTAGGTGTTAATAATTGAGTTTTACACAATATTAGCGAAAAATCTGTATTTGATTTTAACAAAATATGATTCTTAAACGAAAACCAATAATGTCTATGAATATTTATTTATTTACAACAAAGATATATAAGTTATATTCTCTATCACACGTATTACTACACTTTATTCCTTCTTAAAATGACAAACTTGATTTAAAAGTGTTTACATTTTACACAATACATGATATTTGTACTTTACTATGACAACATTGTTAATTTTAGCACAGAAGAATGCTACAAGGAAAACATGATTCAAATACACAAAACAAATATAAAACACAAAGTATACGAACGCAAATATAACATGATGTTGGATTATTTCTAAAAGCACTGAATAAAATATATTGCGTGAGAACAAAAATGTCTCAGCGTTCTTCTAAGCAAAGACACTAGGAGGACCACCAGATGTGCCTGGTGTTCGTCTTACAGTCAAGATACTCTACACTGCAAGACAATAGAATAAAAAGTTCGTAGGTATAAGCGGACCCCTACTTTCTCTTTTTAAGTGTCCAGAATAAAGTGTCCAGAATTTATTCGTACAGAAAAGATGTTCTTTCCGAGCCGTGCTAATATAGGAAAATTCGATATATAAAAAGAAACCTTTATTTCAATCACCCATTTCCAATACATGAGAATAAACAAATAATTCAAAATATTCAAATGTTTCTAAATTTTAATCAATCTTCCATGAATGTACTATACCAATTATTAAACTTTAATACGTACCATATTTCTTTATGTAAGACAATAAAGTAAAAGAAACTACAAAATTCGGTGTTAAACACAAATATATATATATATAATATCAGTCAACAAATTTTCAAAATGTACATTAAATATTACAAAGTGTATATTAATTAAGTAATAATAAAGTAATAATTCTTTATGCGATAAGCTATCGATGAATTTGAAATTTAATTTTTTTGGATTTGTTTATTATTTTGTTAAATACTATATTACAGTAAACATCTATTTTCCAATATGTTGGAAGTAATTATTTTTAATCCACATGTTATGTCCTGATTTGTACCGTTAGTTTGTGTATATATCTATATATAGAAAATAGAATGTCTGTTGTGTGCATTTATGTTCTCTATTAACTCCTAAGGCTTCTGATCGATCTGGACCAAATTTTGCATAGTTACTCTGTAGCATCCTGTGAGAAATATAGGTTACCACGAGACCTGGATAATCCAAGTTTATTAATGTATTATTATGTAAGTAAGCATTGCGTAATGAAGCATACTATGTAAGTAAACATTGTGTAATAAATAATGAAGGCAGCAGTTAATTTTTTAATATCTGCTACAATAAAAAACAAACGGAATTTGATGCCTAGACAATATCGGATCGTTGAAGCTTTTACGTTTAAATAATTTTACATTATTTTTATCTGAAATTTGAACTGATCTGAATTTACGTCTATTTGACTGCATTCAATACTTAAAAAAAACAAACAATGATGTTCAGTTATTCTTCATTATTAATAGCTCATTAAGTAATACATTTTTCAGAAACTTCTACAAAATTGATTATGATACATCATTCGAGACGATTTTTATTTCATTAAAAATATGGCGGCACTTTCATTTTTAAGTAAGGTCACGTTGAAAATAAAAACAGAGTTTTAAGTAATATCACATTAATTGCGTATTATATTCAAATAACGTAAATATGAATGTATTGCAAAATCAATTTTTATCTTTATGAAACTGTTATCGTCATTATTACTACTTGTAATTAATTATACTGATATTAATTCAAACTTTTCAGAAAACAAACAATAATTACAAATACAAAAAGCGGATTGAAATTCGTTTCAACGGACATTAGAGATTGGTATTTTGAAAAGTGTTGCCAATCGAAGAATTAAAATTTTATTACCTTTTTTTTTTTTATTACCTTTAAAGGTCAATAATTTGTACCGTACTATGACATAACAATAAAAATAATGGTACTAAATATACCTCTAAAATTATTAAGGAATACTTAGATCGAAAAATATTATTCTTCCTTTACTGACAAGTTTATTTTTGGTAAGTATAACAAGTCAACAGTGACGCAAAACTTGTTAAGCATATGCAGTGTACGTCTGAAACGTGTTGGGCTTGTACGGATGTTTACATTTTTTCCGGATAAAAGCATCGGTTCACAGCTAAAAATTTCTTACTGATCATGAATAAGTGAAAGTAATATAATTATTAAATACTGTACTTGTTAGTGTGTACATAATATATATATACGTTATTCGTAAATATTAGTTATATTTAATTTTGCAAAATTCAAAATGTGAAACATGTAATTTATTTTAATTATTCTATCGATACCCTGAAAATAAATATTAAATGACAATTATTCCTCTTAAGTTAATCTACCGTGATATGGTAAATTACAAATCACATACATATGTATCACGTTTATCTATTCCGCAGATTATCTCAAGTATATCGCATTTTATCGTAATTATAAAAACGTACTTCAGGATTTATTCAACGATATCTTGGAGTATGTGTAATTATACAGTATGAATGGTGAAAAAGTAACGGAGTCTTTAATCTGAATGATAAAATGAAGTAACAAACATAAATATGTGAGATATTTTCTTACGTCATTACAACTGATTTCGATGACCTCATTACTAAAACAAATGCATACCCGTATCTAAACAGGAACTAATCTAATTATAATTCGAATAATTTGCCATTTCATTAAAAATACAATGTCTTGTGCATAATTATGATTCTACAGTTTTTACGGCTAAAAGAAAATACAATGCATTAACTAAGTGATATAATTCAAGCTTAAAAACTTTACAAAAAATATATAGTTGCATTTACACAGCACTTAACAATTGAAACAGAATTTTAAAAGAAACGGTTCTTTATTAAACATAAAAGCAAAATGTTATAA